TCATTGTGCTTAGTAAGTTTTTATTTTTATTTCTTTTATTTCAGATATTTTTATTTTTCCTTAAACAATGGGGACATTGTTTATTTTAAGTGTGGGGGAGTAACGTTATTCTGGTTTTTATTTTTATTGTGTGTTACAAAAAAATATATAAAAAACTAGAAAATCTCCGGTTGTGTTTAACACAGCCAACCCATATGACTTATCCTTTTTTTGTATTTCTTTTTATGAAGAACTAAATTATAATTGTATAATAATAAAAATATTTATTAAATCAAATAGTTGTCTTGTGATTTTAGTTTTACTGTTTCTTTGAGTTTTCATTAATAATAAAAATTTATTTTCATGACAAATAGGTAAAGAAAAATCACTAAGCAGACACACATGTCCTAAAAGTATTTAATAGGAATTTGTTTTTCCATTTAAATATTATTTTTTAGAATATAAAATTGGGTTTTATTATCAAAATGATAAGAAAATGTTTTCAAATACAAAATTATTATTTGATTAATAAATATGATATCTTTTGAGAACTTTTGTACTCCAAAATTTTAATGTATTATATATGTTTAAAATAGTTCATTATTACAAAAAATAATAGAGAAGTAGACAGATTATTATAATTTTTTACGCGGAGTCCTGATAGAGGAAAACTAAATCAAGTATAGCAATTGATATATAGAATAAAAAAAATCAATAGACATTAGTCTGAAAAAAAAAATCACTATAAAAATATATCTAAACTATAATTTTTTTAATGTATAAGTCCTAACAGAAGAAAACTCAATCAAGTAGAGCAATTGAAATAAAAAAAATAAAAAAAAAAAGAGACATTAGTCTGCTAAAAAAATTCACTGAAAAATACTACGCTACAAAATTTTCACACGAAAATAAAAATCAATTCTGAAAAGCTTACAATAGAAAGAGCATAAAGAGAAGGTGGAAAAGGTCACGACTCTCAACTCACTCCTCATCATCTAAGTCCATGCTAATGCTTTCCCGTTAGAAAATCGTGATCGAGGTTTTTTCTCCTGTAAAAAGGTTAAAATTGATAAGGGAACAACAAAACATAAGTACAAATTTACACAACCAATCACTTTTCTTTTTTCCCTCACAATGCATACCACGATGTCAGCTCTGTATCTCAATCTCACCTACTTAGTGACCATTACTTTTTATATTTACAATATTTCTCCTTACTGTTAGCACTAAAACATTCGCATCTGCTCTCATCTGATGTACAATGGCCTTTTCATTCTATGTAATACGAAGTTATATAAACTAAGCATATCCTTTACATGTCTTCTTGAAACAACATATTTTTATCTTTAGGATATTAGGTTGGTTTTCTCTATATGTTCACTAAATGGATTGCTAATGTGATGGAAAATTAATAAGATTAACGCTTGAAATAATATCATAGCTACACATTAAACAATGTCATAATAACAATCTTAGTACTACACTTCGTATAGAAAGTATCACAATTAAATTTGTATGATGAAATATGATTTCTGATATTATGATTATATAAGTTGTAGCTGAAACTATGATAGCTTAAGCTGAAAATATTCAATTTCATTTTTAGAATTTCTCGTGTAAAAAAAAATTATATGAAATTCTTTAATATTCTTGTAAGATGCACTTTAATTGAACTTACAGAATATTATTTAACGACCAAATGTGTGTCAGATATCCTATATACTTACAAAATTATCCAAGCTTCGCCTGTTACTAACTTAATCTTTTATGTTCTGTTACTTACACAACCTAAATAGGTGTAGTCACTATATTTAGCATGTAATTTGTACTTTTGAAAAACACAACCTAAATAGGTGTAGTAGTCACTATATTTAGCATGTAATTTGTACTTTTGAAAAACAGACATATCTTTTGTAAATAGATTAAACTTGACAAGTATATTCATAATTTAACTATGACATTGAGTAACAACTTATTTCCAACTTAAGTGACATGATAAGAGAAAGGCACCTGTGGTGTCCTCGACCCCAACATGGCGATTTAGAACGATAGCACAACCCAGCCCAATTAAAATACACGCTCAGATTTCTTCGAGAGCCACCCTTCTCCCAATATAACATCATCAATTTGGACTATAATAATTTTGGCTTTCTCAAGATCCTCGACTTCACTTAAAATGGCCAAGGCTATTTGGTAACTGGCCTGAAACTTGCAAGACAAAATATAAAACAAAAACACTCAGGCAATATCTTTTTTAAAAAAAGGCAACAAATCCATTTCTTTTAAGATAACTAAATTATCATGCACCTAGACTGGTCATTTTTTTATACCAGTTGGTAACTTAAAAAGGCATATTGCTATGCACAAGCAACACTTTATCTCCAAAGTTTGAAATACCCCACAATTAAGATGTGGTCTAGGATTCAGAGTTGACTTTTGATGTCTGTTTGTACGACAATTGCTAAAGGTCGCCATCAACAAAAAAACTAAAGATTATGTTGTTGTGCACATACCTACAAGTCAATCAGAAAAAAGAAGACTAATTGAACACGGATAGTGTTGACTGTTGAGTACAAATTATGAATGAATGAGATGTCCTGAGGGAAAAAAGAATGAAGATGTCTATAGTTGGGAATTGTTACAAAAATTGTAAAATTCAAGTTCTGTATTGGTAAAGATCATATAAATACACAAGAATAACGCAACACGAAAAGGTCCAACCTTAACAAAACTGTCCGAGTAAGGAAGGCTGCAAGTTATTCATTTTTCTCTTGAATTGTTTCAACAGAATATAGCCCACCACTAAAGGAAGTCAGTGGAAGTGAAAGCAAATACACAAATGAAAAGATTGAAAGAAAAACATTTGTGTTTCCCAATGAAGGCTCATAAAGTACACTAACATATGAAAACACTCAGGATCAGTTGGATTAATAGGTAGAATACATCTTCTTATCACTATAATAGCATCGCTAGTTGCAGCTTCAACAAAATCAGAAGTGAGCTTGTATACTGCCCTATCTCTAGTAATCTTATAACAAATTAATGGTAAGCAATATAACATGAAGGTATCTACAGCCATGAGCAGAGCAGAGCATGAGAAACATGAATAGCATATGAACCACAACTATTGAGGTACATGGGAAGATCATTTACAACATCTAAAGAATGTTAGATCATCATAATCTTAGTTAACCACGTGCACCAAGACAAATTGATAGTTCAACTAAAAGATCATTGTGCTAGCCAAAGTCACTCGAACCTTGTGCACAATTAAACACACAAAGATTTACGCACCAACAAAAGAACTGTAGCTATCTCCTTTAAAGTGCACGCCATGGACTATAGGACATTCAAAAACTCTTCCTTCAAAGGTATCCTGAACGTGCACAACAAATATATAAGAATGATAGAACATTTCACACAATAACTGGAAAACTAAAGGACCACATTCGTGATATTAGCTACCTTGTCTTCCCAACAACCACCATTATTGTTAAAGCACTCGTTCATCTGTACATCATCACCTAAAAAGTTTCAGCAAAAGCTCATGGTACTCAAGGATTGAAATAAATATGAAAAAGTAACGCATACCATCATCCAAAAAAACTGTTGGCTCGGTAGTTTCTTCAAAACAACACATATAGCCTTCAAAAATAGCACCTTTATACATTTTCCCTACAAACTAAGAACCACATCAGTGACAATTATATTTAGCATGTATCATGCTCGATGCAAATAACAAATAAATAACTCCTATTCCTCCGTGTTGATGATTATTCACGACAAGGGTCAGAAAAATAGTTACATCTCCACGTGTCCCTTTTCCAATGTACAGAAGTTTCTCTTCTGATTCACTACAGTTTACATATTTACTAACCATTAAGAACGCAAAATAAAAAGATTGAACATATAATATTTTCACCTGAGCCTCTTGCAGCTCCTTCAATACAGGATTATCCACACCACGATTGGGATTGTCCATTAATCTCTCAATTTTCCTTAGGTCTAGTCCTGCAACCAAATGCATAAACCTTAAATCACTAAATAATCCACTTCTAAACAGGCATGTTCACAAACAAACAACATCAAAACATATTACCCAAAGATTCAATAAGACCCTCGCATCGTATTTTTTCTCCTTCATTGGGCACCTAATATTGAACTCCGCAAGGGAATCCCACACAGCCATAGCTTCCTGTATTTCTTAGCCTCCCTAAACACACAAAGTTGCCTCAGATTATGAAGGACGACATCCTTCCCATCGCAACCCGAGCTAAAATCCTCGTCGGGGTACCAAGTGATGTACTGAGGTGTGAACTGCCACTCCCACATTATTACTATTATTATTAATTAAGATCGACATGTCTTCTAATTCAATTTTTTTACGTGGTAAATAATCGAATTGGAAGATTGGCGAAATTTTGTTAAAATATAGAGAGTGGATCTGTGCGTGGCTAACAGGCGGGGGTGGAGGAAAAGGAAAAACATGAAAAGAAGAAATCACATTTATGATCAAAGCAAAACGGTAAAAAAAAAAAGAATAACGATAGCATTTTTACACTGTAAATTCCAGGCTCCAACGGAAGATCCTCGTATGGGAAGTCCACGCCATCGTCTAAGTCGTACAGCTCATCGTCGGCATTGGATTTGGTCGGAAACAGCGGGGGTGCTCGGCACTTCGTATGTTTCGGTGGGCCGCTTGGGTTCTTCTTGGATG